TATGGAAAAGGTTCAATATATGTGAAACTAGAGGGAAAGGTATGTTCACCTTGATACACTTATTACCCTTGGATAACATTTTTAATTGTCCTCAAATGTGAACACAGACAGAAGCTGCCTATTAATTGAGGACAGTATTAAGTTGAAAATTCCTCAAGCCTTTGAATGCACAGAAATGAAGATGTAGTAGGCTTGGGTTGGGCCCTGACATTTTCAACAAGCAACCCAGGCAGTTCAGTCTTCAGGGATCCCAGAACCACACTGGGATATAAACCACAGGGTCAAATTAGCTGAACATGAATCGAACTGATCTCTATGGTTACAACACATGTGCAAGCCAGCAAGGCTAATCCAGTCCAGACATTTGTTCCCAGTTTCCAAAGGGCTCTGATGTGGCATGGACCCTGGCTTACAGCATCTCTCCCATCATTGTGTGGAGGTGGTTGAGTGCGGGCTCCCCTCTGTCATGTAAGCCTTTTTCAAGGTCTGGGTTTGAGACTGGGGCTAAATCCATGGCTTTAGTTCCCATGAAGGTCCAGGATATGGGAATGTGTCTGATCATTCAGCAAAGTGCAAGGGTCAAGATGTAGATGTTTCCTGGAGGGACAGGTCTGCCCATTGTAAGGAAAGCCTGTCTTACCTTTTCAATTTCCTCAGCAAAGAAATAAAATTTCTTATGTGGTGACAGTGGTGGATGGCCACCATTAGTGCTGGAGAAAGGACACTGATTCAGGTAAGAGCTGACCTATACAGTGGCTCTGGAGTATGGCCCTCAGACCAAGCACTGCAGCCTCATCTAGAACTCTCTCCCCAGAGCTACTGTGGTCTGGATTCGCTATGGAGACCAAGCTGGCTCGAAGCTCAAACTCACAGAGATCCGCCTGCCTCTGCCCCCCCGAGTGCTGGGATTAAAGGGATATGCCAATACACCTGGCTGGCATTTGCTTTAAAAGAGCCTCTAAGGAGTGTCTGGGGCTCACCAACGTCTGGAAGCTACTGCCCTAGACAGGCCGTAATGTTCCTTTGAATCTTAGGATGTGTCCTGAAAAATGGCTTAATAGCAGCCATTTTCATTTGTGACACTTCGGGTCTCAGTTCCTCGTAAATGTGTTCAGACCAGTTTTTCCTTGATTTCCCTACTGATCTCTGTTTTGTGCCAGGCCCTGTCTCTCCATGGTTTCTGCTCTGTATGCTCTGGTTAAAAGCAGACTATGGAATGAGAACCAGTGGTAAAGCCAGTGCAGGGCCTCCATTCTCAGTCCTCCTTTCCCTCCCAACTATAAGAAGGGACTTGGCTGAGGGAACGAGAAGAGGGTGGAAGAGTAGAGATGGAGAGTCTCTGTACCTGACGCATGTGCTTCTTCAATGTAAATGATGAGGAAATCTGCTGCGGAACCAAAGTCTTCTACAAGTCTCTTGTACTGGTCAAATTTGAAAAGAAATGAAGGTCAGGTGCAACTGCCAAAATTCAGCACCAGTGGCCTGTTGCCTGAAACAGGAAAGCAACCATCAGGAATCAAGAATCACTCAGTTTTCCTTGGCACACACCATCTCCCTTCTTGCATGCCATTCTGTCCCTTCTCCTACCCATCTGGGACAGGTCCGAAGCACATTGATGCGTAACCAGCACGAGCTGGGGCTGGCTTCTGCCACTCTGAAACCAGAGTGTTGGGGACCTCTGTTGTGTAAAGTAGAAGTTTCTTTATGTCCGGATAGCTCACGAGCTCAGAGCCATATGCAGAGACTCCTTTCACAGCAAGGCGTCTTCCCGGCATTTTTCCTGACTCCTTTGTGAAGTAGCAGCCACAGGAATGTAGCCTCCGGCTCTGTAACCATTAGGCTTTCCTGTGTGATTTTCAAGCAGTTTGGCAGCCTGGCGGGAGCCCATTTCCACATGCAAATGAGGCATCCCCAAAGTACCTATCAGCTGAAGCTTTTACCACTACCCCCACGGTATAAAGTTCCCTGATTCCCCTCAATAATTGAAGGAGCTGGATCACTCTGGGACACTGAGGCTTGGAGCCACGCAGAGCCATTGAATAAACAGCTGTAACACTGAATCTGATTGAGCTGAGTCTTGTCTCACTGCCTACGATCCAGCCTTCCCAGGAAGAGCTGTCTTTCCACCACCGACGCACAGATCCCAGCTTTAGCCGCCCTCACACTCTCCTGCGTGATCCAGCGGCCGGTGGATTTCGCATCTTGAGGAAAGTGCACGGGTGAAATTAGGGCAGGACTCGGCTGGGCAAAGCCCCACCAGCAGAGAGCCACGGAAGATGCAGGGAAGCAGCGCAGGAGCAGATACCCACGCACCCCACACCTGGCACCCAGTGCGCCCCATACCAGAGGTTTTGTTAGGCCTGAGAGAAGAGTCTCTTCCCTGTAGCCTGTAATTTACAAGGCAGGTAGACATCCTTCCTCCTATGAGATGTGATTGCTAATATTGCAAGGTGAGTAACACACCTCTTCCCCCTGCCTCCCCCTTTTTGAGACAAGGTCTTACTGGCTGGCCTGGAACTCACTATATAGACTAGGCTGACCTTGAATTCATAGAAATCCACCTGCCTCTGCCTCCCAAGTGCTGGGATTAAAGGTGTGTGCCACCACGCCTGACAATTTTCCCTCATTTTTACAAAGAAACTGCAGTTTATAGACTTGCTCCAGGACTCATACATGACAAGTCAACAGTGGAGTTAAAATGAACGCTGGCTTCTGGACTCTCAAGTCAGTGCTCTTTCCATCTGAAGTGCCTTAGTTTCTTCATGCACAAAGGGACATAATAATACATACTTCACAGGATCCTTATGAGGATTAGACAAAAATGAATACTGTTAAGGGCTTAAAAGTTGCCAGGCCAGCCACAACTACTCAGAGAGCTCAGTAAATATATGCTGTTGCAATGAGCTTTTAGCTGTTCTCTGAGATCTGAAATAGGTAGGCCCTGAAGAGGACTCCTAAGGGAAATAAAGGTGGGAGCAGGCCCTACTATAAAATGAAAATGTACAAAAAGGAGATGGGAACAGTGGCTGAACTTACTATAGTATAAAGATCCATCCTATCCTTTGTGGTCTCTTTCACGTGGCATGGTGTTTTAGTTAGCTTCTATTTAATGTTGTCATATCCCCCAAGGCCTAAGGATATTGGAAGGGTTACAGCAGGACCCCAAAGTTATCTAGCAGCCCTGTAACTCAGTGAACTTGTGCTCATAGCTTCCCACTCCTCCAGCCACTAGACCAAAGCACCTCCCACGCCAGCCAGGAGCACAGAAACTGAGAGCATTTCCCCTTCCTGCCCTCTGCCCCTTCACTCACAGGACAATGCCTCTTCTAGCCAGAACATGCCAGGCACCTCTACAGGGGAGGGGCAGACAAGCAGTTTCTCCCTCCCAAGCCCTCCCAGTCACTTTCCAAATTGTACCATGGCATTACCAGTCCAGGATGGGGACAGCCACCTCAGCACCCTATCATAAGACACTGGGGGTTGCACATCCCTGATCCTTCCCATTCCATGTCTAGGCCCCTTTGGGGGCAAAAAGTGACAGCTAGTCACTGTGTGGGAGCAGGAAAGAACACCCAGAAGTGAAAGAATAGACCTTGGAGAACATGTCCCAGATGTTCAGGGAGGTCTGGAAGACAGGAAGTGTTGGGAGCCTCTGTTATGCAAAGTCGAAGCCCCTTTACACTGGACAGCTCATGCAGCTTGGGAATTATGTGCTACGGGCTCCTTTCACAGCGGGGTGTCTTCCTGGCATCTTTCCTGTCTCTCCTTTTGAAGTGTCCGCTACAAATGCCGTAACATAAACATGGCCTTTGGCTCTAACAGGTACCATGCCTTCCTGTAATTTTTCTTAGCAGACAGCAGTCTGGCAGAAACCCACTTCCATATGTAAATACAATGCCTCACAAAGCATCTAACAGCCAAAGCTTTTACCACTACCCCCATGGTATAAATGTCTTAGTCTTCTCTTAATGGTCAGAGAATTGGGCTGCAGAGAACTGGGTCGCAGAGAGCTGGGACACAGGGAGCCGGGTCTCAGAGAATAAAGCTGTAACACAGACTAAGAACTGAGTCTTGTGTCATTACCGGGGGCCCAATCTCTCCGGGGGGCGCACTCCCTCGTGACCGGCTTACAGACACCCTAGCTTTCGCCGTCTCCGTACTCTTCCCTGCGTGGTTCTGTGGCCAGGAACCTCGCATCCTGAGGCATAGTACACGGGTGAAATAGAGACGGGATTTCGGCTGAACAATGCTTCAGTAGCAGAGGAAGCTGTCTGCACCAGGACTCCAGCCACCGGGAGAAGCCTGCGGGGCATCCACAGCCACGGCCAGAGACGCCTGTGGCCAGACCCGCCAGTGACTAGCCAGGTGTGGCAGGGGCACCGAGATCCAGGGGCCCGGAGCACCCGGAGATATCCACGCACACCACGCCTGAGGCCCATAGAGACACGGAGAAGCCAACGGGACCAGACCAGCTTTCCTCCAGACGCACGGCGGGGGAGTGCCATCCCGGGAGTGCCCGCACACCTGCGGATCCGCCCTGCCAACCCGAGAGTGCGCGCAGGGACCCCGAGCGCCCAGAGAGAGTGCACCCCCCCATAAGGAAGGACCTTGTGTGAACCAAGGCTCCCTGCCATAGACGGAAGTCAGTGGAGAGGGAAGCCATCAGGAGTCTGCCTGCACACAATGTGAGGTTTAACAGGGAGACAGGCCAAAAGCCAGCAGACATGTAAGTGAAGCAATGTGAAATTGTGAAATGTTATGAAAGATAATAAAGGTGTGACCTGCAGACAGGTGGGTCAGTGGGGCCTCTGGGGAGCTGCCATCAGACGTGAAGATGAAAGACAGCAACAACCCTGCCCTAGAGAAGGGAAAATGGCCATTCCAGCCAAAGTGACTCAATGTACCAAGTCCTCAAGGAGGGACAGAGCCAGTTTGTTCAAGGACCTGCAAGACCACTGACTGGAACCTGGCAGGGGAAACATCAGGAGAGGTGTTGGCAGAGTCTGGAATGGGCCAGAGCAGGAGGAATTTGTAAGCTTTGGAGAAGAATCTGGAGTTCACTCTAGCTGTGATTGGAAGTTCTGGAACTATAAAACAAGGGTGGTAGATAAATGCTGTAACTTCGGGCTGCCTAACTCCTTAGTCCTCTTTCTCACTTGGAATTCTGTATTCTGTGCGTCCAGCCTGGCTTTGTGGAAGACAGAAGGACCAGGTCCTGCCCCTAGCAGTCAGGGGTAGGTAAGCACTCTCCACTTAGGTCTTTGATTCTGGAGTCAGAGGCAGAAGAGTTCATTCACGGCCCAGTGGTGGTACCCTCAGGATGGCGATGAAACACCTGCCAACAGCAGTGACAGCAGGAGCCAGTCTGACTGTTGATGCTAAAAGACAGTCTGTACCCAGGGCTCTAGCTGTTTTGGTTCTGGGGAGTCCCAGCATCCTTCTCATATGTTCCTTAAAGGGTGTGTGTGTGTCTGTGTGTGTGTGTGTGTGTGTGTGTGTAACTTTGAAATCCAGAGTGAGGTCAGTCATAGCATCACCTAACTATAAACCCAGCAGTTGGGAAGCAGGACAGGAGGATCAAGTTTGAGACCAGCCTGAGCTACATAATCCATACCTAACACCTAAAAGTGTGCGGAGAGAAATGGCTCCGTGAGTTAAGGCACTTGCCACCAAGCTTGATGACTTGAGTTTAATCCCTGGGACCCACGTACAGAAGGACAGAACTGACTTCCACAAATTGTCCTCTTAAAAAAATCCATTTTATGTGTTTATTTTGGGGGACACTTATGTGGAGATTAGAGAACAATTTGTGAAAATTATTTCTCTCCTTCCACCATGGAAATCCCAGGGATTGAACTCAGGCGGTCTGGCTTAGTGGCAGACACTTTTACCCACTGAACCATCTTGCCAGTCCACAAGTTGTCCTCTGATCTCCACACATACATTGTGGCACATTGTGTCTACACACATACACATGCACCCACAAAATAAATAAATAAATAAATAAATAAATAAATAAATTTGTGAAAATTATTTCTCTCCTTCCACCATGGAAATCCCAGGGATTGAACTCAGGCGGTCTGGCTTAGTGGCAGACACTTTTACCCACTGAACCATCTTGCCAGTCCACAAGTTGTCCTCTGATCTCCACACATACATTGTGGCACATTGTGTCTACACACATACACATGCAC